TAAAGTTGAAATTTAGAGTTCAAAGTCGAAATATCAAGATTGAACTCGAAATTTTGAGTTTTGAAGTGGAAAGGCCCAAGAAACAAATGATAAAAATATGTGGCCCTGTGACGCTTCTGTACTTGTACTAATTGAGTCTTATCCACATGCTGAGTTCTATCACCGCGTCCAACATTAATTAAAATGCCCGTGCATTGATTATCATTGAAGCAGCCATACATTTTGGCACACAATTCTATTTTCAATCGAAACTGGAACTTCCAAATAACCTGAAAATAAAGAGTGATTTCTAAATGTGAATTCTTTATTCTATGATCAACAATATCAAGAATTTCATTCATTCTTGTACCCTCACAAACATATCTTGGCAACGTCTCTGATTCTAAGTTCATGAAAACACATCAGTTTGCTCATTTGTGTCAACAAGAAATTCCTTCATCGTGAAAAATTACTAGTCCAAACCTTGCTATATGCCAGCTGCCTCATGAGGAATTTTTAGTAGTTGTCTGCATTTGTTACATGTAGTCGAAAGTTTGAATTGCCGTGAGGTGGTTTGTAAGAATTTATTCCGATCAAGGACAGACCTGATTTTCTCTTTTTTCCATTAAAGATCTGAAACAGTTGATGTAGAAGAATTTCGAGAATATTTGCTCTGAAAATCCAATGCAGACTACGCTCTTCTAGGAATAAAACGCATCATTCAGAAAGAATGGTAAATCACTAAAATTGATATAATTTACTTCAAAATTTCCCCCGTGAGGGTATTACGAAAACCACAACACGTGTTTCGCTATACAATCCTTATAGAGTACGGAATGTATAGCATGCATGTTGTATAGCAAACATACAACACCTTTGCATTTACCGCTCTAATTTGAAGGAGTGTCGAATGAGCCATCCATAATGGTGAAGTTCTTAGGAACACAATTCGACTGCAACCTATCATGGAACTCGCATGTCGATGTAGTTTGTGGCAAGCTGAACAAATTTTTTTATGTGGTCACTACACTCCGAAACATGCTGAAACAAGAATGTCTGCTACGGAAAAAAAAGATTTGTTACTTCAAAGAAATTTATTTAGTCTAATTTATTTCATCACTTTGATTAAATATCATTCATTCCAAACGACGTGTGTATTGTATCGATTAGATGATAATTTTGCGGAGACAAAATGAAATTCTCATTTTGATTTCTCTAATATTTCAATTCAAGAGGAACTCGCATGTCGATGTAGTTTGTGGCAAGCTGAACAAATTTTTTTATGTGGTCACTACACTCCGAAACATGCTGAAACAAGAATGTCTGCTTGAAGTTTACTATGCACTGGAGTACTCCGCTATTTCATATAGTATCGTTGTGTGGGGTCAAGCGTCCGAACTACAAAGAGTGTTGCAAAAACATATTATTAGATGTATTTTCTGCTTATCTTATAGAACATCATGCAGATACACTTTCAAAAGTAATAAAATTCTCACGGTACAATCTATTTATATTTCAAAACTGTTGACTCACATTTTCAAGAACCTAAACAGCTTTAGAATACATTGCGATATTCACATGTATGACACCAGAAACAAAAGAAATATTTGACCGAAGCAAATTTGTCACTCCAGTGGATACTGGAATACGTCTATTCAACATTCTGCCCCTCGAATTGAGAGAGAGAGAGAGAGAGCAGACGTCCAGATATCTTCAAACGCAAGTTAAAAAAAGTACTGGCCGAAAGATGCTTTTAATCCCTCCGTGAATTTGAACTTTTTTATGGTTAGTGACTTCCAGTAGTAACCTTCTCATGCTTCTTCATATTTTGCTTCATCTTTGTGATGGTCTTGTGATTTTTCACAGGCGTTGAAGTATGCACCACTGAAATACCTGATTGAAAATCGGTTTTTGACTCGATTTTCATGACATTCAAGAATGTAATCTTTTTTTAACCATTATTTATGTTTGTCATTTTAATTGTACATAATCATCAGACACAATTTAATATGTGAAGTGTTAATAGGATATGGATGCAATTTTTAATTTGAATTTGAACAATAGATTCTTCAAACGAGAATGTAATGCCATATACCTCACATATAGACGTTATCACAAAATATCATTTGAAATTGTTATTGAAACAGAAGTTGGTGAAAATATTTTATGGGGGCGTTTCAAAAGTATTGTCAATTTTTATGAGTCTACTTTGAACTTCGATATCTCAGTAAATATTTACTCAATTCAATCGAAATAAGCGCCATTTGAATCAGTGGACTTTTGCCATTGTAACACACATCTAGTATTTCCATCATACCAATTCCATTGGTTGCTCTAGATTCGATGAAGTCGACGAAGGCCGTTTTTGCCTGGTCCTAATTGACGAAGGTTCCATCGGTGAGAAAGGTATCGAAGTACCTGAAAATCTAGATGTCAGTTGGCGAGAGGTCTGGGGAGTATAGTGGTTGAGGCAGAACTTCGACGCTCAATTCGTTCAAATTCCGGACGATGATTTGTGAAATATACGGACGGGCGTTGTGACGGAGCAGAATCGGACCTCTTCTGTTGTCCAAAGTCGGCTGTTGCTGACGGAATTTTTGGTACGTTTCATCGATTTCCTCACAATAGCACTCTGCTTTGGTGGTTTGGCCTGGTTACAGAAAATTATAGTGAATAACTGACCATGGTCTTTTTTGGTGTTTTTGTTCTCTTTAGGAAGTGCCTGGGTGGCTCAACGATGTCTCCCCACTGTCCTTAATATTGTAATATCTACGTCATTTTTGTATATCGCTGGGTCACTAGTGAAATCATACTTAACTGTCCATCAATCCTTGGTAACCCTCTCGCTATTGCTGTCTTTGTTTTATTTAAAGTTTGCCAGCTGTTGTCACCAGATACAGATTTCTCCAAATCAAAATTTGGATGTTAGGCAATTCCAAAAAGGCTGTAGGGTTCCTGCTGATCGCACGAAGGTCGGTCTTTTTGAAATCTGATCAGTTGTATACCTACTTATACTCTCTCTCATTATATGGTTCCAGAACGATGCCGAATATGTTCTAACTGAATTTTATTCTTAATTAAAATACTTTTTACCTAATATTCTCTTTTCGATAGACTGACTAAGAGATCTCTAATCATTTTTTTTTCTTTTTTAACATCACCTTACTCTATGAGAATGGTATTTTTCTGAGTCTAAGAGAAAATGAAAGTACAAATTTTCAAATATAAAGTATACTGAGTAAAACAGCGACTCCATGGACAAAATGAAAAAAAAACAACGTGTTAAATTCTATAAAATAAAATAAAATAGAACAAAGGAAATGTCGCCAATTAAACTATGCTATTTACTATTTATGCAGTACAAAAATACTTTTAGTTTTACTTTCACTTTAGTGAGAATGGTGTTTAACCTTGAATTTGCGACTTTTTTTGTAATTGTAATATGAACTCCACCTAAACAACCCACACCAGAAACCACCCACCCCAAATAAACTCTTTGCAAATAGAAAGTAAACTCAGACAAAATAATATGTGAACTCTCTCTCAATATCAACTGGTTAGTAAAAAAAACAAACACTCACATAACGCATCTTTGATGGATCATGGTCAACCATAGGTTCCGTTGACCCGTAGTGGCTTCAACACCAACAATTTTATTTTCAACTTCCCTGTACCCAATACCGGCTTACGATTTCACTACCGATTTCCCTTAAATTTCGCATCAGGCGCTTGGAAACAAAATAACCCCCCATCTAGGCCACCTTCCACAGCCTCGAAGGCTGAAGGATGAGACCCCCGAGCTCGTCTCGACTAGCTCCGGTGACCGACTCATCTGTGTCTGTCGCAAAAACTTCCAAGCCCACGTGTCAGCAACTCATAAAAACCCCATCTCAGCGTTTTAAACTTTCTCCAGCATATGGTCATCGGCAGGATGTAAAATATACATTTGTTTAGTCTAACCCAACTTGTACATGACCACAATGACACTCAAAGGTCCGACAGTCATAAAGTAGTTCAAACGCTTTTTCACCTGGGAAAATATTGACACCGAAGAACCGAGTAATCAACCTCAATCTCTATAAATAAAATAATAGTTTACGTTACTATCACAATGACAGTTATTACATCTCCAGTTGTCGTAGTGTATCCACTGTTCATCACACGTGACGATCCGATCCGATTTTGATTGTCCAAAAGCAAAGACTAACAGACCCTGAACCGTGACAATTTCTGTTGATCGTTTAAATTGTGGGGAACTAACTTTTTCAGCGTCTTAGCCTTTCCAATGGGTACGTGTTAACTTACATTATCAAAAGCCGCATAGGAGCTGACGCCCATACACCATTTGTGATGGGAATATTTTCACCAGGATCCTCAAATCCTCGTCTTGTACTGTTTGTTGACCACTTCAGGGTTCATCTTCTATGCTAAAATCTCCTGAACAAAATTTTGCAAAACAACGCCAAACAGTGCGTTCATTAATACTATTATTGACAAATGTTTGATGAATTTGTAGAGAAAAATTGGTGCAAACTATGTCAACGACATCATATACCAATGAGCTGAAACAAGGCCAAAAATTACAATTTGGAAAAAATTGAACAACATCAATGTATTGAATATAAAATTCTCTATTGAGAGTATTTATCGATTTTTCGATCATCACATCAAGAAAATCAAGTTGATTATGAACTTTCCCTTCTTATATGAATTTTGTCATGCATGGGATTTCTTGAATTTGAATAATTCAAGAAAGCGTTGATGTCATTTGGGTTATGGTTCCAGGCTGCGAAAACATAATCAGAACGTTCCATTGTGAAAGGTTAAACCTCAAAAAAAATAACAGTAAATTATTTACATATACTTGTTCAGGAATAAATCTGAGAAGAAGCCCGATTTTCATCAACAATCAACTATAAGGCAAAATATTTCACAAATTCCACTATGTTATTGATATTTTCAAGATTCAATTTAATGTGTTGGTAGACGTGCGAATTATAATTCTTTTGTTTTTCTTGCAGTCTCCTCCTCTCGTTTCTGGCCACAACGCAATCTCTTCCCACCGGAAACTCAGAAATCATAACAGAACCAAAACCAGGACAAGAATATGTCTTCGTTCAGACTTCCTCAGTCAATGCTCGACCAATCACCAGGAAAGAAAAGGCAACCGAAGAAGAAGAAAGGCATTTCGAAACTGCCCACAAATTTCCCCCCTCTCTCACATACGCCCTAGAGGATGATGATGACGGGAGTGCAGTCAAGCCAACAAAAGGCGGGAAAAAGGTCCACAAGAGAGACGCTCCTGCTCCTCCAGGCGCAACAAAAATTGATGTCAAGGCACTCTTAGCCAAGTAATTCTTTTACAATAGTTTCTCCTTTCTGAATGTAGGAAAATTAATATTTGAACCATCTTAGTTGTATTACCAGCACATCATATCGAAAGTACATAATCTGAATCATGAAGCAAAAGAAAATAAATAAATGGAAAGTCTCGATTTTTCAAAAAGTCTTAATAATTCGCAATATATCTAATCTTTACATTAATGATTTGCTATAAATAACAAAAAATAGTTATGAAATCGATTTTCCAATATTGATTACATAGGTTAGGTTAGGTTAGGTTAGGTTAGGTTAGGTTAGGTTAGGTTAGGTTAGGTTAGGTTAGGTCAAAAGTGAGTGGGTCAATTCGACCCTCCACCGCAACCCGCAACGGTTTATTGTGGCTCACACCTATTCACACTCGACCAAATAAACCCAGCTTCTTAACGAAGCCGATTAGTGTATATGGTGAGTGGTCTTTCAGGTCAGATGCTCTGCCGAACTCTAAAAACCTGATTCAGTCCCCAGCGGGGCAGGCACAAAGTATATGCTCTTCTGTTTCACCATTTTCCAAACAGAGGCGACACACACTGTCTTCCGACAGTCCGAGTCACTGCATATGATGATTCAAATGACAGTGACCTGTAAGAAGGCCTGTTAGTTCGTAGTTCATACATACTATAACCCAACAACTGTTTGGTATCAAGTTTCGAAGGGTGAATAAAGGCCTTGAAGTGAACCAATCCTGGAAGATTCTGTCAGAAGTCCATAAATCTTCTTGCCATCCAGGTGTTCAATCTTTGTTTGGCAAAGCCTAAAGCGATGCCAATGACAGGTTTTTGTTTAATGGAGCTGCTTGCAGCACCCTCCTTTGCAAGGGAGTCAGCAGCCTCATTGCCTTCCAGGCCAATATGGCCAGGAATCCAGACGTTGCTCGGTATAGAGCCAAAAGCTTCCAACTCCGCTTCACTGTCCGAGAATATTTTTATTGACTTGTGTATGAAGTTGGACTCTTCCAAATCTCTCCGCACACAATTCAATAACGTACATTACCGCTTGAAATCATAGATTCCTAGGCAGGTTGATATCTCTATCCTGGGTCTGCGACTTAAAACACCTACACCAGAACCTGAAGGTGTTTTTGATCCATCTGTGAACCAACAACTATCTGCTCTTAATATTTCCTTCTTCTGGAACAGTACTCGGAAACAGTACTGTATATGACAGTTCGTAGTTGACAGTTGGAGGCATAAAGTCAGAGGACATTTCCAGAATGCTCTGACTTTCAGTATCAACCAATAGTCTGTTGCACTCTGCATTGAATTGGTTTGTGATATTGGCAATATGCTATATGCAGTCCATCTAGCCTCTCTTTTCAGAAAAATGTGGAGGGGAGGTTGATCTAGAAGGATATCCATGGCCGATGACGTTGTGGTACTGTTGGCACCAATGATGGCCAGTCAAGCCTATCTCTGTAAGCCAGAGAGCTTCGCGTGGGCCGTTTTCTGTAAAGCCTTCGTTGATTACATAATTTGATGTTCAATTGTTTGATGTTTTTAAACTATAATTATTATGGAAGAGCGTAAGTAATAAATTGTTTGGAATGGGATCTTTGTCGCTGTTAAAATTTTTCGATTTCTAAACCCTCGAAGGCATCTAAAAATCTGTTGTCATGTACTGGTCTGAACCATTTTAAGCATACCTCACTTCTAATGGTCTATGAAACCTCTGAAACCTATTATAGTCATCTTAGTCTGACCAACATAACTTTTATCGTAATCCTCACAGCTTATTTCGTGAATGTCAGACTTTTTTCTTTTCCATTCAATCGTCTTTAGGGATCTCCAACTTGTCTTTCGGTTGAAGTGTATAAGTAGTTTTTGTCTTCCATATGAGCCAAAATGCACTAACGAATTGGACCGAATTTTCAAAAGAATTAAATATTAAAGTTGCTCTCAAAACTCCTAATGCACTTCAACAAGTGTTGGGCAACCTGAAAGAAAAGGTGTCTCTTTATTTGATGATTTCTCTGCAACTTCATTTCGTTGCCTAACCATTTTTGCTGACAAATCTGAAATGAAGTCTGACTAAGGTTATTCTACAACTATTGAAGTAATTAGTTATTAGTCCATTTTCATTCAGATGGTAAATTACGGTTTCACAAATATCTCTAGGAATTATGTCAGTCCGAAGTAGAAATTGGATTCCCAATTCAATTCTATTCAGTATCGATGATAGTTCTGTTGACTATTCCGTCTGGTATGCATGATGGCAATAAGACGAAGATATGTGCACCCATTACTCACAGGTTGGGATAGTGGTGGCTCAAACACTTTTTGGGTATGTATTCTAGTTGTGAACCCATCTTATAACCCAAATATATCCAGAGACTAATCATCAACATTACAATATTTGAAAGGCTTTAACATCTTGAGCGAGCATCAATATAGCTTTCGGAAACAAAGATCAACAGGTGACCCTCTATCGTATGCCACCTATATTTGGAATAATGCAATCGAGAAACATGGAGAGTCAAGAGTTGTTGCGCTTGATATTTCTAAGACCTTTGACCGTGTGTGGCATAAGGGTTTGCTGGCCAAACTTCGACGCTATGGCTTTGTCGGATCATTTTTTATATAGCTCCCCAACTTCCTGAAATAACGTTCCCTGTAAGTATATCAACGACTTATTGAAAAAAATGAATCCAATATATTGTTTTGCTTACGACAACACACTCTTCTCGTAATTCCATTTGGATTCCAGAGCATCGCACATCTTAACCGGCAGCTGGAGATGGCATATCTTAATGAGGATCTAGAAGTGATTTCGAATTGAAATGGAAGCAACCAGGTTCAATTCAATGCGACAAAAACCCGATATCGATTTTCTTCACGAAGATAAATGCCTCTGAAGCGGATATAATAACGTCAGGACAGACAATTACACTTTCTGCTGTAATAAGTTTGTTGGAAGGTTAAAATTGACACCAATTTGTCTTGGCACAATCATGTCGTCGCTGAAATTGCAAAGGCTGCTTCTCGAAAGCTTGGAACACTGTTCCGAACGAGAAAATTGTACACACCTCAGAAACTTTTGATGCTTTATAAAGCTCAGATCAGATTTTCTTTAGAGTATTGTTCTCATGTATGAAGTTTTGCCTCTAAGCATACCATGAAGCTGCTGGATTCCATCCAGAAAAGAGCCATCCACCTGATTGGAGACGCGAACATCACTTGCAACCTTGATAGTCTGGAACATCGAAATAAAATTGCAGATTTGTCTCTCTTCTATAGATAGTTTCACGGGAAGTGTTCAAGTGACTTGGCACATTTGATTCCACCAAGGGCGGTATATATCAGAAATACGCGACGGACTGTGGCTGATCATCATTTTGAGGTTCAACTCAGTACACCTCGAACTTCACTGTTCAAGAACTCTTTCATTTAGAGAACTGTGTTCATGTGAAATGAACTTCCTGAGAACATTTTTTTAAATGAAATCGCTACTTTCGTACAGGCACCGCTCTTAGAGCGCCTTAATAATTTTTCTGTAGTGCTTGTGTTTTGTCCTTAAAAAATTATGGGAGGATACTACTGAAACTTCACGATATCCCCTTGGTAGATCTTCTGAAACGTTTTGTAGTCTGTTCAGAAGCAGATTTTGCTTGAGTTTCTGTCAAGAGTACACTTTGTCATTATTTTCACAAAATTTTCCCAAGCTGTTAGCTGTTACTTTTGTCTTCTCTTTGCATAATGAAACTGACACACTGTTTTGGAGTGTGTGGTAGATTTTACTTCTGGTATATACAGGTATTCAAGATATATCTGTACTTTTCTCACGTTTCCCTACAGAAAAGTCCGTAATAGAGTAAAGCATCAAGTATTGCCTTATCCAATTCTATAAGAACACACAGTAATGATACACAGATCTGAGAATGCTCACATCAAGCTCTTGATATGTAGGGCTGCTGAGTACAGTTAATATTATTATAAACTTATTTCATTCGTTTTTTCGATTTCTGAATCTTCTTTCCTCAGAAGGTTTAACTTCCCTATAAAAAACCCTAAAAACCTGAATCGCTATTGTAAATAAGTAGGTTACATTTTACAAAGGCTAACTGATAAGCTACAGGGTACATTTTTTCCAGATATCAAATTTCCACTTCAGCACCAAAAACACAATCCACCTCAACACAAGCCACTACCACAAAGTCAAGCAGAAAACGAGGAGGTAAACGTCGAGTGAAAAAAGAAGCATTATCTGAATCATTCGAAGTGACCAGCCCAAGATCTGTTTTAACGACTGGCAAGTCAGTTCCGAAGGTTATAGAATCAGATGACATTCCTCTGGTTGGAGCTGCCAGTGAGAAGCAAAGATCCCGAATTCAAATTAAGAAAGGCCCAAATGGACAAGAGTACGAATATGAGTATGTGTACTACTATTATGATGATGAGGATGATCCCAAAGACAAAAAGGTTGGTGGAAAAATAGTATTTATTCTAAATTTGAGCAGGCCGTGAAGTTAATGAAAATTATTTCCTCCGTCTACATATAATTGCACCCATTTCAAGAAACTTAATAAGTTTACTTAGCAAATCATTTTAATGTACATATGGTTTTTCAATAAGGTCACCAATTCTCATGATGGTCCAGCACGGAATCAAATTCCTTCACGTAGTGACCTACCCAGAGAAAAACCTATTCCTGAGGTCAATGAAGTTCTACCACTACGTGGAAATAAGATAAGAGGGCGCCAGCTGGGTGAAGATGACTCTGTTGTTGATGATCGTTTACCCGCAGCCACTAGATTTCCCCCAAGGTGAGTAATAAACAATTATTGAATAGAACTGGCCGATACTTGATGAAAATCCATATTGAAAGTAATTATTACAGTTTATTATATGATTTTCTCTAAATGTGCATGCCTACGTTGTTGTTAAGAATGACAAAGATAAAAGTTCAGTTTCAGAAAAATTGGGAGTGCATAAATTATCATGTGGGTCATGTCCGATGTTTTATATAGGTCAGACTGGAAGAACGTTCAAAGACCACACAAAGGAACACAAAAATAGTTTCCAGAATGCAAAAATAAATTCCACATATGCCACTCATTCAATCACAGAGGGACATGAGTTCAACCATGAATACAAGCCCCTCCATTTCCAGAAGAAAGGTTTGAAACTTAACCCGTTGGAGAGTATGGAAATAAACAAATTCAAAAACTCTCAATATCTCATGCATGAAAGATAAAATTGAATTGAATAATTCGCCATTATTGAATCTGTTCATTTCCAGGTAAAAATAGTTAAGTTCATTTACAGTAATTTCGAAAAATTTATTCATATAGTTATGGAATTCTTACCTGACCGTTTCAGGTAGATTAATTCACTAGAAAGTAGGCATACGAGTAGGTAATGTGTTAGAGTATAAAATTGTTGTAATTTAGAAATAACTTTTAGTTTACGCTTGAGGAAGCTATTGTATAGCGAAACACGTGTCGCGGTTTTTGTAAAACCCTTTATAGTGAAAGTCATACAATAAACTGTATTAATTAGTTTTAATAACCAATTGTTACTGGATGATTATTAACACTAATCTAAATAATATACCTTTGTGTGAGTTACTGAGCCTCCCTTGTCATATTCCGTGTTTTCAGAAAGCATCTTAGAGGAATTTTTCTACTTGCATTCTCAATCTCAGCACACTTATTCAGGATAATATAACCTCAAAAAAAGAACAATTTGCATCCAAAATGTGTTCATCATCTTATGTTCAAAAAAACTTATAATTGGTTTTTTTATTTTTTTCAAAAAATCAAGTCAATTGAAATATTTTTTTGATCGCTCTATAAAGGTGTCTACCGTACCAACCATGGCCGTGCTAGGACCGTATCAGACACGGAAAATAACACGGCACGGTCTACCTTGCCCAGTGTAATGAAACAACCGTGTCCTAAGCCCGTAAGCAACACGTATAATGAATGACCGAATCATACGGGTATGATGACCGTTAGATACCCCTTTGACAACTATAGGTAATGTGAAGTATTGTATGTTTTTCCGGCTTACTCATCAGTGTAGGGTGAACCTGTAGAAGAGTTTACCACGAAGAAAGAATATGGCTATGAGATTATCTACATTTCAATGGAATGCATTGCTGATTAAAATTTTAAATGATTAACAACCCGTTTATACACCGTTTCGCTGCCGGAGACCTATGGTTTAGCAACGTCACGTGCCATGCACGTTGCGTATCAGCACCGGCAAAATATTTCGACTCGAATACTGTCATGGCACGTGCACGCTACGCTACGTGCCGGACCAGTGACGGAACGGTCTAGTGGGCGTTGGTTCATAAATCGTATGAATGAATATTTTTTAGCATGTGCCGGTACGTTTACGGTCATGGTTTGGTAAGGTATGGTGGGCAGAGACCTTAGAGATAAAAAAGTGATTCATATGGGGTCTTCCATCAGGGTCTTTTGAACTTTGACAATTGATAACGGCCATCTTGTTGAAGCTACCTATATCATTTTACGGTCGCCATAATTGTCCTACGAGAGGTGGTGGATAAATTTGAGTCCATTGGTTCAGTAAACTATCGATCAACATCCGTATGTTTATTACTGGAGTTTTTTTAAATATATCTCAGTTCCATACCACCAATATACGAGGAACTTTGGAAAGATTTTCAAGGAACTAGGTATGAAGGTGGGTTTTAAAACAAGTCATACACTACAGAGCCTTTTGGGAAGTCCAAAAGACAAAGTCTGAAAGACCTGAAAAATCAGCAGTCGCCCATCATATTTTGCAACAAAACCATTCCCATAGACTTCAGTTCATTAAGATTAGTTAGACAAGTTAACAACAACAGGCAACAAAATGCCTATGAGAGTGTAAAAATAAGTAAACACAATAATACTATGAATAACGATGACGGACCTATACCAAAGAGCATACTATATAGCTTGTTAAAATAAAATAATGTTGTTGGGTTTACTGACTACTACATAAGGACACATTGCAAAAATGAATTTGGATAGGGAATATTGTAATATAATAGACAAGGCAAAATTGTAAAATTAATTTAGGTTGGTATACCTGTATGGGTGGTACGCCTGGATGGTTTACCTGTATGGGATACCTATATAGCATAAATAGGGCTAGCTCGCAAATCCGAGGCAGTCGATTTTGCGTCGCTCAGAAGAACTTCTTTCGCAGACCACAATTTGGTGAATTTCGCGTCGTGACTTGGGCCTGCACCCGGACAAAACTAAAATGACCCTGGAAGTGAAGGTAAACAACTATATACAACGGCGTGTGTCGCTGTGGGCGCTGTAGAAGTTGGCAACCGGCAACATCGAAAAATAATTTTCAGCAATGAGGCAATGAGAGAGTACGTGGCCAGATCATCACTGTCAACGGCGTGCACTATTGGTCGATGATAACCAACTTCTTCTGGCCTGAATTGGATGATCTGGACACCAACGACAAGTGATTTCAACAGGACAGCGCTACGTGCCACACAGCTCATGCCATATTGGATATTCTGCACGAGTGATTTGAGGGCATGGTCATAAAAAGTGGAGGTGATGTTAATCAGTCACCGAGATCATGTGATAACCCCGTTAGACTTTTCTTGTGCGGTTTTCTCGAGTGGCTCGTGTATGCAAACAAGCCACAACCCACAGCGTTCTTCAAAGCCAACATTACCCATGCCATCGGTCAAATTCAGCCTGATTTATGCGTGGATGTTTCGGATGCGCTCCACCGAGAGACGACGTGGCGGACATTTGAACGATGTTATATTCCACACATAATGGTTTTTCAAACGAATGAAAAATTTTGATATCTCACACACTTCGTTTTATTTAAATGTAAAGATAGAAAGCACTTTATTGAAAACTCTATAGTTGAAAATGGTGTTTTGGGTGAAACTTCTTATCAAAACCTAAATGGTATCCGAAAAGAACTTCATCCGAAGAATGAAGAAAAGAGAATTGAAACTTTCTGTTTTTTACCACTTTTATTTGTAACTAACGTTACTGCAGTTTCGTATTATTATGGACATTTTCAAACTTATACATTAAACTAACAATGGTTTATTACATTAGCCCTTATATACCACCCCTGTATGTAATTATAGAGGTACTTGGCGTGATTGAGTACGTGAATTTACAATTTACAATGCGGATGTGCCAGTTTGAAAACCGGTGAGAAAACTAAATCGATTTGATCATTTAACAGGTTGCACCCGCAATGTTTATGCTTATTAATTTACAAGGATTCTAAATAAATGAATTTGTAACCCTGCCTTGTATAGTGCAAAATTTCCGTATCGTTTAGTTTCGGGAACTTGTGGTTGCATGCCAAGGAATGGTTGGAAAACGTCGAATCATTTTTTTCCTAGCTAGATTGTTAGCAGACAAAGGCAGTGAGAATGCTCTGTGCAACATTGAATTATAGGCTGCTAATTTATGACTGGATGGAAAGAATCGCTTGGGATGATAATGTCTGTATAGCTAGGTTTTCTGAATACATTGAACTCAAATTTATTACGATTGAGTGTAATGGTCAGGTCTAAGAGATTTATCTGTTTCTCTATCTCTGTTTCGAGGGTGAACTGAATGTTGCTATTGAGATTATTCAGGAATGTCATACATTGGTTCAGCTGTCGTGTAGTACCTCTGAAACAGGGGAGAATATCGTCTACATATCTGTACCAAAAACGAATATGTTGTTTACCCAGGTCGGAATTTGAAAATGTTCTTATAGGACGAAACTGCAGTAACGTTAGTTACAAATAAAAGTGGTAAAAAACATAGAAAGTTTCAATTCTCTTTTTTTCATTATGATTTCCTATCACGAACTAACGGCTATACATCTATTAATTTATTAAATAGGAAAGAAATACAAAATGTATCACGACTATCATGAGCCGAACAATCGAATATTACTTACAGTCGATACGTCATGACTAGGTACATGTTTGAATTTTTTCAACTTCTTTCAGTTTATTCATCGCTATCAACAATTCTCCATAGCTGGAAAAAAATCGCCAAATTGTTGGTAAGCAAATAACTTTATGGTGTATGTATACTTTTTATTGTTTACATGGTTTTTTCTAACTCATCAAATTTCAATATTTTTCAACTTCGTGGAATATTTTGGTGCGGTATATTGGTTCCTCCGCTCACGGATTCAAATCTTTAGGAAGTTCTAACATACATAAGAACAGCTGTAGAAGACAATTATGCGGACAACAAGCCTTCTGCAAATTATCAATTTTTCTTACGATTGGAGGTCATGTTTCGATTTGAGGTCATGTTTTTTTTATGTTATCTCAAAAGGTTTCTGCGAATTTGTTGGCATGGACAAACGTTGTACAACTAAAGTACTTGAGTTTCGAAAAGCTGAATAAACTAATCATAATGAAGGTCATGTTGAGAATTCTAAGATATAATTGAAAAGAATACAAATTCGGAGGATGTCTGGGTACCTATGCACCTATGTGGGGTGTTTAGAGGAATTGTAATGTTGTTTCTCATCCATATTCTAAGATGAACATTTAGAAAATAATCATCCAAAGTCTTAATATCAGTCAAATATATTTTTTTCGACCACCTTTCTAACTGTATCATTTCAAGAAGCCGCAACTTGAATACTTCACCTCAACCAGAGGAAGATTTCCAGTCAACTAGAGGTCGAAGCAGAGGAAGGCAAACTACCGAAGCTGCTTCCTACGTGAGTGAAGCCGACAATGTATCAGATGAAACCCAGGTACGCATTTTTTACTCTTAATAATAAATCGCCATCGATGAAATAGATCAACGGTATGCTTGCCCTTGGCTTGATTCTTTCTTCTTGAAGTTATTTTAAGGTGGAGTTCCTGATTGCAAATATTAAGGGTGGAGCACTATTATGACGCAAGGAAAATGAAATTAATTTCTTCAAGGAGACAGGAAGTGATCCTGGTCATACTTTCGATGATTAGTTTCTGCACTGAACGAAAAAGTTTTTTATTGAAAGTTATTACCGTCTGTTGTATGAGGAGAGATTTTCGAACAATAGGAAGTACCTATATAATAATAATAATAACTCGACATTCATTGAGGATAGATAACAAATGGTGAATAAATAAATAATGAGACTGATGGCGAAGTCTAGCTGTGGCTAGTTTACTTAACCGTCAGAGGGGCTTACGCCCGAAAACAGATTTATTGTAGCGAATCAGTTTGTTAAATTATAGTTGCTGCTTCAATTAGTTGAATTATAGTTGACTGCTGTATCATCAGAAAGATTACACAGATATGAAAGCTTATAATTTAGCGCAGAACATTGTTTCGGTAATTAAGACTGCATACTTATGAGAATAGTTTGAAAAAGAAGTAAATTTCATAATATTTAATGTGTAGAATGGTTAAAGAGTTGGTCCTGTTGAGTTTCAATGCTTGGAAAGTAAAAATGTTCTCATTTCATATTTGAATTTATCGATATTATACATTTTGAACTCTTCTTGTACATACAGATTGCATTAAAGACATATGACCTTTGAAAAATTTCTGTTCTACGTTGAGGCATGGTGAAGGTAGACTTGTTTCCGACATTCTTTGAATGGATTTGAGATCGAGGAGTGAAGCAACGTATCAGGCTTGATGGGTCATGATTTTCAAAAAGTTTTTCAACGAAAATACTTAAGTGAAGTCGTCTTCTATTTTCCATGTTGAGCCACTTACATTCAATGCGTTTATAAGAGATGTCTTTATATTTCCTTATCCCAAAAATGAGTCTATAACAACTATTTTGTACATTTTGAACTCGCATTTGGTCAACGATTTTTGAGCATGGACCGTAAATGAAGTAACATTAATTGAAGTGACTCAAAACAAGTGACTCACATAGTGTACGTTTCAATTCAAATGGAGAATATACTGATTACTCCAAATGAGCTTAAGTGATCCAAAAGCTCCGCCTGCCAAACTTTTGATGTACTGGGAGAAACACATATCAGAATCTATAGTGAGTCCCAAATTTCTAGCTGAGTCACTTACTTGTAAGGAATTGTCTATGTGGATAACCATGTTATTTTTCAGAATATTCCCTTTATTTTTATTACCAAAGAAAACTATTTTAGATTTACCCGAATTCAGCTTCAGATAGTTTTCTTCAGCTGACTTTTCAGCTTTCCAAAGCTGAATCTCAGCTCTCCATACTAAAATTCAAATACAACTATGTATCATCTACACAAGCCTACACTTCACAACGTTCCATCTCATTTAAAATATCTGCAGTGTATATGATGAAAAGCGATGGTCCTAGAATAGAACCCTGACGAACCCCTGATAATACATATCGACTTGATGAATATGATCCACTTACCAAAAACCTTTGGGATTGTCTATTCCAGATCAAAAATTTTGATTCCTTATTGAATCCGTTTGCCTCAATTTGGCAGAAAGAAATTCCGGACTGATCGTATCAAATGCTTTGTAGAAGTCGATTATTACCAAAGCAGTTGATGAATTTGCCTCATTTGTAGATAAGATATCATTAGTTACAGCTGCCAGGCTGTTTCACTACTTCTACCAGGTCTGAAGCCACATTGACACTCGTGAAGCAAATTATTCGATATAAAGTACTCTTATATTTGGTTGTGTGAGAATCTTTCGAATATTTTTCAGATAGTGGGTAGCAAACTTATAGTTCTCGAATCTGAAAATTTTTAGGAATTATTTTTCTTTGGAATTGGTATACAAATGGAGTTTTTCCAAAGTATTGAAAACAACGATCTCTCCATACAACTATTGATAATGTGAGCTATATATTTGTCAATAAACGGGCTTCACAATAGTAGGTTTTTCAAGTTCATATTATCTATTCAAAATGCGGTAGTCTTAATAGAATGTAGAATATCATGAACTTATTCTTATATTGCAATCAAGTGAAAACAAGTTTAGTTGTTCGCTATAAACTGATTTACTGTAATTATCAAAGTAGAATTGAAATCACTTCCACCACTTGATTTTAAGAAAAATCTAAAGAGATATATGTTTCAATCAGGTTCTCTCCTTTAAAATATTGATCATTTGATACCTATAGGGACTTATTTATAATAAATATGTAGAAAATACCAAAATAATCGTTAAATTATTGTATTAAATTTCCTTCATGTTTATGACATGACTTTTCACAGGTAAGAATCAAATTCTCATCTATTCGTTTTGGCTGCAAAATAATTTGTATTAATATGAGTTAATATGAGTTAGCTGTTGCTGGTTGGACGGAAGGGCAATTTCTGCCTTGATTCATCATGTGCAGATGTTGAATTTTGACATTTGTTAGGTTACGTTAGTTGAGGTCCTGAGTAATCTTTCAATAAAAGCATTTATTATTATTATATACCCCCAAAGACTTTGGGAATATCATGTGAAAATTTCAGATGAAATTTGTGACTTATCTGTAGGTAATAGAATTTTTTTACTATTTTTTTCCGTAATCTGAACACAAAATACTGTGAAAATCACTAGTTAAATATTCTACAATTTTTTAATCGCAGACCTGTGTTATCAGCCTTTAAAATCAATTTCAAAATATAATACATTTTAGTAGTATTTTATTACTGAAAAAAATTCATCTACTGTATGATCCAAGTTAAAATGTATTTTATATTGAGTATTTGAGTAGGTACTTACAACGACGATATGAATTGTATTGTTGGTACATTATTCATGAATCTGAAGCATTTCAAATACCTACCAAGTGACATGATCGTTTCGCAAAAATTGTTTAAAAAGGTTTTCATTCACTTTTGTTCGTGCTTGTTTTTCAGTTTTCTGTTGATTTCACCGTGAAATTTTGATCATTTTTTCTCATAATCCATTTTATTAAAATTTATCGTCAAGTCAATTGGGTATAATTATTATATTTCCAAATCCATTTAGATTTCCATCGCTGATTGCATAGATGGTTTTGAATGGTTTTCGAAAAATTCATAAACTTATCAGCAACTATTTTCTTCAATACTTTTACCTTCACTTCTTTTCTTTCTTTTTTCCGATATAATTATCAGTTTATTTTGTTTAATTTCTTTACCACTAAATGAAGTTTATTAAATGAAAATTGATGATAATTTTCCTGTTTAAATTTTTTTCATGCTATGCCACATTTATATTTATATTCAGTACTTTCAAATTTCATTATTTTGTAATTCAAGTTCCTTCCCTATGCATCACTCCATTGTTAAGATATTTTGGGATATTTTTAGTATTGTTTCGGATTCAGTAAAATCACTTTCAAAAAAACTCTTTATTTTTTTTCAATAGTTTACCTGTAAAATATTTTTTGAATAGTTTTCCCTACTTTATGAGTTTTTTGTCTATTTTATTCTATCCTCAGATTACTCCAGAGCTGTCGAAATAAAGTTTCAATTATCTATCAAGGCTATAAAAATTTAAATACAATATTATATGCAAACATGCCATTTTCTTTTCTCCAATTACTCAAAACCCTATATCAGGACAAAAGTGAGAAATTATTTCATATTCTCCCTTCCTAAGCAAGTTCTTCTTGCCGCGCAAGAGTCGGGAATCACTCTTATTTAACATTTGTGTGCTTACAACCAAATGATTGAAAATCGAAATGAAATGAATTGTATGATTATTTGAATATTTTTCTGATAGGGATCAAGAGGAAGAACTCGCGCCAATATTCGAAGACCATCCTTAGATTTAGTGGACAGCGATTCTTTCAATAACCATGGAAATAGTCAAGCAAAGCCCTCTTTTCCTCAAGAATTGCCTGAAGGCCCGGTACGTTTCTTAGGAGCCATACCCAACGAGCGCATCGAACTCGTCCCAGTAATGAAATTGTTGAATATGATCGCACTAATGAGCTTACATCTTTGAATAGTGCACCGTAACACTAGCAATCACAGTAGAAACTAAGCATCTTACATCATCACAGTTTTATATATTTTCACCACTACTACAATATTATTCATCTTTTGGTGTCTGGGGCATCTAATTGTTATTTGCTCACGCTAAAATTGAAGATATTTTCAAAAATATAACACTTGAAATACAAAAAAATATCTATGCTGGCAGAAAGGAAATTAATTTTTATAAACCAAATGCTTTCAGTACCTAGTTTAAAAGACAAACTTATATCGGTTTCAAAAACAATTCACCAGTAGATATGCTCTAGTTCTTGAATTCTTGATTTAAATACTCATAACTATTCAAACTTTTCAACTATTATACATTGTGGATTATTTTTTTCCACCCAGGACGTGAAAGAGGAACCCATAGAACCAGTTTACAAATCTAGTGAAGAATCACCTATTCCGCCCAGATCGGATATTCCCGAAAATGAAAACGTAGGCACCACTGTTTCTTCGTCAGAAGATGCTACCACAGCCATGTCTCCCATGGACAAAGTAGCTTTAGATTTGTACGCAATTTCCCAAGGAACGCAGAAATTATTCGGAGAAGAAGCTGTTGAAGATAGTGAGATCAGTACTGAAAGTGAAAATAAGGCAACAGATCTGACTGACTCCACGACAGAGGAATCTTCCACAGGTAATCATACGAAATCAAAACCGATTCGTTACTTAAGAAATTATGTTTAGTGCCAGAAACAACACCAACGACTACAACAACTACTACAACTACTACAACCACAACTACAACAACTACAACCACTCCACCTCCACCTCCCTCAACAGAGCCTCCCCAGAGTGGTAGGGGTAAATTCGGATCTGGCAGACGAGGTTTGAATGGAAGAAAAACCACATCCCAAACAACAACAACTGAAGCTGCCCCAGAGCAACCTAAGAAAGGCAAGTTTGGAAGACCAAGTTTCGGTGGTAGGACGAGAGGCAGGACTACTGCTGCCCCAGCCATCGAGGAAGAATCCCACAAAGAAGAAACGAAACCTGTCAGTCAGTCAAAGGTAATTGTAAATAAATACTAACAGTTATGTGCTTGCATCATTGTTATTATTATGACAAAACTTTATACCCTAATATCTTCCACAGCCTTCCCGTTCGCGATTTGGAGGCTCTAGACCTCGCGGTCGTACAACAGCAGCTCCTGAAGAGCCCAGAGAAGATTCTAGTCCAACTTCTGCACCGTCCCATAGAGCATCACTACCTAGATCACGGCCTTCTTTCAATGTGCGACCAAGAGGACGTACAACAGCAGCACCGTCTACCGAACAGGAAGATTCTAGTGAGGAATCAGCATCAACAGCTGAAGCCAGGTAAATTAGAAGGAAAATTGTTCTATTTGATGAGATTATATAATTTGATTTTTTCATATCTTCAGTACTACAGTTAGATCTAGAAGAATCAATGCTGGTTCTGCAGTAAGGCCATTGAGACCAGGTGCAAGAATTAACATAGGTGGTAGGGGAAGAGGGGCCACTACTACCACTACAGAAGCTCCAGCTGAAGATCACGTTACAGGCGATGATGAACCGGAGACTCATGAACAAGAAGCTAGCGAGAAGGTAATTACAAATAGTTCTTCAGTTGCGATCAACCAAAAATCTAAAGTAATGTTCAATGAGTAGGTATCGATAAAATTCTGAAATGGAATCTTTATTTAGCTTTAGACAAAAAATTACCATACTTGAAAGTTTTACGAAAAATAAATCTACACATCTGAAAAACACTCAAAAACCAACTCTAGATATTGGGTAAGTCACAATCATAATTTCAAAATACCCATTGTTTTTATCCATGTTCATGAAAATATTTTCAGTAGGTACTTATGATATTTCAATAATGATAAAAAGTATACCTACCTATGCTTTTTTCATAACACCTTGCAAGAGATTATATTCCTCGAGTATATTTTTACCAGTATTGTATATCCACAATATTACAGCATTAGTAATTCCAGAATATTACATGAACTTCCATCAGACATTTTTTTGTACATTTAGGACCTTTCGGGACATCCATTTTACGTGAACATACAGTATGTCCCAAACATTCATCATTGAAAAGAATACCATGAGAATTTTAGACCAGAACGGCTTGAAAAATTTTTTTTCAAAAGAAGTTTTTTCGTTAGTTTTTGTCGTTTCACGATACTTATGAACTATTTTTTCATGCATAAAATAATTAACTCTCATTACCTTTCATACTTCACTCTAACTTTGGAGAGCTACTTCTTTTATACGACTACATAAAATAATGATTCATAAAGAAATGATTCTGATAGGTGTCTTGGATGTCTTTATTTGGGTCACCCAATACGAGTTAGGTTAAGTCTAAAGTGAGTGGGTCTATTCGACCCTCCATCGCAACCCGCAAGGGTTTTTGTGGCTCACACCTATTCACACTCGACCAAATAAACCCAGCTTCTTAAGAGTAAGAGTACGGCTCTGCCGAACTCTAAAAACCTGATTCGGTACCCAACGGGGCAGGCACAAAGTATATGCTCTTCTGTTTCATCATTTTCCAAACAGAAGCGACACACACTGTCTTCCGACAGTCCGAGTCACTGCATTTGATGATTCAAATGACAGTGACCTGTAAGAAGGCCTGTTAGACATCGTAGTACATCCCTACTGCAGTCGAACAACTGTTTGGTATCAAGCTTCGAAGGGTGAATAAACGCCTTGGAGTGAGCCAATCCTGGAAGGTTTTTGTCGTTTCACGATACTTATGAACTATTTTTTCATGCATAAAATAATTAACTCTCATTACCTTTCATACTTCACTCTAACTTTGGAGAGCTACTTCTTTTATACGACTACATAAAATAATGATTCATAAAGAAATGATTCTGATAGGTGTCTTGGATGTCTTTATTTGGGTCACCCAATACGAGTTAGGTTAAGTCTAAAGTGAGTGGGTCTATTCGACCCTCCATCGCAACCCGCAAGGGTTTTTGTGGCTCACACCTATTCACACTCGACCAAATAAACCCAGCTTCTTAAGAGTAAGAGTACGGCTCTGCCGAACTCTAAAAACCTGATTCGGTACCCAACGGGGCAGGCACAAAGTATATGCTCTTCTGTTTCATCATTTTCCAAACAGAAGCGACACACACTGTCTTCCGACAGTCCGAGTCACTGCATTTGATGATTCAAATGACAGTGACCTGTAAGAAGGCCTGTTAGACATCGTAGTACATCCCTACTGCAGTCGAACAACTGTTTGGTATCAAGCTTCGAAGGGTGAATAAACGCCTTGGAGTGAGCCAATCCTGGAAGATTCTGCCAGAAGACCATAAATCTTCTTGCCATCTAGGGGTTCAATATTTGTTTGGCAAAGCCTGGAGCGATGCCAATGGCAGGTTCTGGTTTGGTGAAGCTGCTTGCAGCACCCTCCTTTGCAGAGGAGTCAGCAGCCTCATTGCTTTCCAGGCCAGTATGGCCAGGAATCCAGACCAGAGACAATCTGTTAAATCTTCCTATCGAGGAGTGTCGTTTTTGGCAATTTGCTACCAATTTAGACGTTGCTCGGAAGAAGCTAAGAACTCCAAAGCCGCATGACAGTCCGAAAATATTTTTATTGACTTGTGTATGAGGTTGGATTCTTCCAATAGATATCTCTGCCGTGGGCCTGCGACTAAAAACACCTGCACCAGAACCGGAAAGTGTTTTTGATCCATCTGTGAACCAACAACTTAACTGTGAACTTAATATTTCCTTCTCACGGAGGATCCAGTCCTCTCTACTCGGGAAGAGTATTTTACAAATCAGTTCGTAGTTGACAGTTGGAGCCATAAAGTCAGAAGTCATTTCCAGGATGCTGTGACTTCCAGTGTCAACCAACAGTCTGTTGCACTCTGCATTAAATTGATTTGTGCAATTGACAATGTGCACAAGTCTGTATGCAGTCCATCTAGCCTCTCCCTCCAGAAAAATGTGGAGAGGAGATATACCTAGAAGGATCTCCATGGCCGCTGATGGTGTAGTACTGATGGCCAGACAAGCCTGTCTCTGTAAGCCGGAAAGCTTCGTCTGGGCCGTTTTCTGTAAAGCCTTTGGTCACCAGGCAATTGCACCATAATTGATCATTGGTCTGACAATCATCACATAAATCCAATGGATTTGTTTGGGACCTAAACAAGACGACAAGGTCATCTGCATAAGCTTGCAGATCTGCTTTTCTTCTGTCGAGGGCATCAAGCAGACTATCCATCAGGAGCGACCACAGAAGAGGAGACAGTACCCCACCTTGAGGGCAGCCCCTGATGACCCCGAACCTAATTGCCTCGCCTTGAAGAGTCGTAGTTGCAATTCTGTTTACCAGCATAGCATAGATCCAGCCAGTTATGGTCGACTCTATACCTTTCCTAGCCAGAGACGATCCTATAGATTTAGGTAGTGCATTGTCAAATGGTCCTTCAATATCAAAAAATACAGCAACCGCAATCTTCTTGCTGTCAAGGGATTGGGAAATTTTGTCCTGATTTGTACTCAATGAATAAGTATTCAAATGATTTTAATTTTGTATATTTTTGTTTAGGAAGAAACTCCAGCGCCCCTAGACAATAGTCCTTTAGGGCGTCTCCGTAACAAAAATCGTCTAAATATCCAAGCTCGTCCAAAAGCTGCTGCCAGTTCACCAGTTCATGTTCGACGAGTCAACCCTTTGATAGGACGTAAACGCCCTGGACACACCACCGAAGCACCATCTAGTGAAGCTCCGCAAGAATCCTCAACGGAGGAAGCTGAAACCCCTGACGAAGCAGAAACCGAATCTGCCGCCCCGGTTTCATCCACCACCACCGAAGAACCAAGAGGACTGAACAAATTGTTAGCTGGTAGAAGAAGATTGGGAGCAAGAACTCCTGGAACGTTAGGAAACAAGGCGTAAAAATATCACAGACTGGTTTTAAATGAAAGAATGCATTATTTGTGTGAAGTGAATGTGCTTAGGAACATTTAAATTTTGTGATTATTAATTATCAATCTCATCGCACGACTTTGAAATGAATATTGTCCTAAACCATTACAAAATAAACAACTGATGACAGAGACAATTAAAATGAGGCACAAACCCTTCAAGGATTATGCTTTCAATTTTTTTAAGCGTTTTCAAAGTTATTTGTACGAATAGTTAATCAAAAATACTTTTCAACAGCAGGCCCTCAAGAGAAAGAGATCCAAAATAAATAAACTTTGAAGTTAAAATATTATTAGAGCTTTTGAAAAATCTCATTAGATACGTTTTTGTAAATATCCACCTTTGTTTCCTGGACATAGTTTTATACTTACCAATTCATATCTCAAAAATATTTAAAATCATTGGCAACTGGACACAGTGGAAAGTGTAAAAATACTCTCAGGAGTAATTATTATTGCTTTTGTTAGATATCAGTTTGGTTAGATATTTTTTTATATTTTTAATCTTGGAGGAACATGAGTTACATTTTAAGAAATGAAATATGCAGGCCTACCATGTGCCAATACCTATTTTTTTTAAGATACTAGTTTTATAATTTATTCAATGTCTACAACTTTCTTTCCAGTTTTGTACATAATAAATGAAGATGAAAAATAAAGCATATTGAATTTTAAAACGTGTCAATAGCCATTTTGAATTTTGAGAAACGTCCCAATGATTGAAAATCATAATAAAAGTAATCAATAGTTTTTTGAACAGTATATTTTATAAAATCCATAATAAATAAACAAGTTCACATATTCCAATTACCTATTTACAAATACGATTATTAAAAATGAAAAATAATTGATTTATGGTCATTTGAACAGTTTCAAAGTTAATAAAAAATAATAATAAGTCAAGTGAATCAGTATTAGCTGACGTCCGTTATTTTATTCATCCAAGCAAGATGAGTAATTCTCTAGTAAACTCTCACAGCCTATGATCGAAAAATAGCCAAGCTAAAAATTCAAATGAATGAAAGGTGTATGTTGTTAGCAACATGAATAAGTAAGTACAAGGCCAAAATAAGTTTCTCTGATTCTCAGAGGGAACATACAAGGGAGTCAATCATTAGAAGGTTAAAAAAACTCATATTTTCAATATCCAGTAAGGTGTTTCTGTCTAATGCATTTTTTCAAGTCGAGTTCAATATACTCAAGTTTTGTGAATGCGAAAAAATACCCAGAACTTGAAGTAACGCACTGGTAACTAAGTATTTTTTTCACACAAACACACCTAAACCTACAACCAACTTTTACTATAGGTGAAGGGTACCATTCACTTATAGTATAGTAGGAAAGTGCAAACAAACTAATGAAAATACTCAACACTAATAATTGGAAATGAAATCTTAACAATAACTGTAAAAGCAATATAAAACACTATTTAAATCAAGGAAAAATATTCAGTGAATCTTGTGGGATAGGATGTGACACAAATCTCTGTTGGAAAACTTTATCTGCAATTAATACCATGATGAACATTGATACAACGTCAAAAGATAAACTTATCAGTCAATTAAAAGTAACATTCTCAGGTGTTCTCGGGATATCACGTTTTTCCTACATTTTCTTGATATGGCGTCATCAGTAACTTGTAGTTTTTACAATCGAAGATACCTTTCTGGTAAGAAAAGGGTAAATCATGGCAGAATTCGAAGTCAAAATTTTGTTACAAACAATCAACACAGGTTTCTTGTGAAATAATGATTCTCCACCGAGTTCAAAATTCAACAGAGACTTGTTGAAATCGGTATCATTTAAAATTTGCTATTATATTGTTTTAACATTTTGAATTTTGAAAAAATAGATATCTTGTTTAACAGAGAGTGGTTTTCGGCAGATGAGAACGAATAAGTGGATGCTTTTTCAGTTCTCTGAATAAAGCTTTTTTTATTTGAACAATAGTAACAACTCAAAATATTATTATTTTTTATACAAGAACAGGTATTCTGTCCACCGAAGTTTTTCTTTAATATACTTTCACCAAACAATCTTTTTTCTACATCAATCAAGGTAACTTAGCATCACATACCATAATTCGTAAATCTAAAATATGGAATGAAGACTTATGTTATTATACATAAATAATACTATTATACTTCAAATAGATAGTTTTCTATTCCATTTGAAACTGTACATGAGTGAAATAACTTTTATAATTTATTGAGGGAGGATACTCAAAAGATTTATGTACATTTACATATGCGATTTATTGGTTCACCCATTATAATTTCATAAAAAAAGAAACTTTGATTTTGAGAAATGCAATATCAAAGCATACCCTGTTCATCAATATGTTTTCTTTCAAATCACCCCGGTAATTGACTAAAATAAATAAAATTGCAAAAAGCTCCATTGCACAACAACAAAACCGACATACTACATACTTATTATTCAGAAAATCTGGAGATTATGGTATGGTCCTGGCAACTGAGCTAAATACATTCAATAACAAAAATTTATAAGTTGACAAGAAAATATCACATTTTTGCTGTATTAATTACATAAAACTTGTTATGGACATCGAGGCCAAAACTGGACAGACAACTACTTAGTAGGAAGACTAATGAATAAATAAAAATATGAGCAATGATTTTATTATACCCCTATCACTGAAAGTTGATTCACTGTATTCTCATTTCAGTGATTCCTTTTGACCCCACTTTTTTGATATTTTATCAGTATAATATTCAGTAATAACAGTGAAAGGTTCTCTAAGAGGCAAATAATGTAAAATTGAATCACATACATTAAAAAAATATTTTTTTGTTTTCATACTTTCAGTACTTTCACTGGATAGGTATACCATCGTTCTAACACCACTAAATCTGACCTAAGTTCAGATTACAAAGTACTGATATGTGATGTAACTTCGCAGGAATCTTGTAAAGTTTTTTCCAACCCCAAAGTGAGCATTTAGTATTATTTTCTGAACGTCTCTAGCATTAAAATTTTCACTTAATAACTGCCGGAGCACTTCAGAGAGAACAATTCCAAAAAAAATTAAATTTCACCAAGGAATCGTAAAGTCTTTTCAAAACATGGATAAGTAGTAACTGTAAGGCAGGATCATGTTGTAATATCTGTAACTTTTAGTAAATTGTCATGATTTTTCAGGTAATCTCAATAAAAAAAAATTATATCGATGTTGATAATGGTTTACATGAGCTACGGTTGGTATCGAGTCAATTTTTTATCAAATCAGTTACACCTGTGCATACATTAATCTTCAAAAACAACGTATAAACCAAAAAAATTGTATAAGAATGCCTAATGAAGAAATGTTTAACAGAACGCAACTACCTCCTTCCCTACCTCATAACAAATAAATAACAGACAAAATAGGTGAGATTGTGAAGTAGCATTGGCAAAAAAATGTTATGAAAAACGGTTTATAGTTATAACAGACATAAAATTTTATTTTGTTTATTATTTTCAATTAAAGTGCTTCTTCAGATTTTAGTGATGACTTCAGACAAAGGTAAATAAAAGTTTGAATCCCAAGGCGCCATCTTATGGAAATCTGATGACTAGAGAAACCAAAAGAGTGACGGGGGCCTGAATTTAGCCTGAAGTTGACCCAACAACGGAATCCGGTCTTATTGGCAGCAAATCTCAAAAAATGATAAATTGTCAAGGCCTACTGGACTTTGTAAAATTTATTAGGCTTCTGCAAAGGGCTATGCTAAGGGATCTGCTAATGATAAATTAGTTAAAGCTTTCGCAGGAGAGAGTTTCAGAGTTACTATCTTCATTCGGGTTTGAAAGCAGTCAGATTCTTTTCCAATATTCAAAACCCTATATCACATGGCTAGAGCTTGAGGAAATCTAAGAGACACTGTTGGTCTGCATTCCATAAAACTGTCATCATATCGAACATCTTTTGGATTCACCTCTGTAGTTCTGACATTATAGAAATGCTTCGAAACCACTGGACACATCATAGCTCTTGCACTAATCGTAGACTTGGGTTTCGTTTTCTTTTTTGGCCTCGAAAATACTCGAGAAATTCTATCAATATCAGCAGAAGTGTTTATAATGTTTTTCAATTCTTCTATGATCCAAATCTAAAGAAAATGAACTTTAAATGTTCAGGCCAGTCTCCATATACCTACACAGTAGGTTTAATGGACTGACGCCTATCAGAAAACAACTACTACCCTGGCTAATACCACGAAGGGCGTTGGATTATATCCGACAGGCTTCAGTGCAGGAATCTTCACAGAAAATTTCCTGCATATGCAATTGGCAATACAACTGAAAGAGTCGACTCTCAATTTTGGAACCGACACACTTGCAGACAGGTTTTGGACTCATTAGCCACTCGTCAGTGCAAGATAGTGACCATTATCGACCTAAAGTCAATGATATTCCAGAATTGAAAATCGGAATTCTTTCAGAGTATTTCATTCCTCTTCCGAATGTCACACCATCTAGTGGACGAGGTACTAACCTACTGCATATCCGTAGTTTGCCCGATTCCTCTGAATAAGAAAGAAAAACTTTCTTATTAATCAGTGGACTATGCTTGAAGACTGGCAGTCAACAAATCTAATTTAGATTTGTTGATGATATAGATTTGTTGACTACCAGTCTTCAAGCATAGTCCACTGACTAATAAGAAACTTCTATGATCCTTCTTTTATGATCCTTTCTAGAACTTGTATCTCCAAGTTGGCACACTTTTCGTGTGATGAAACATTTTTTTCGGGTCGTTTAGGCGAGATATTGTTTCAGTATAAAACATTATTGACATAGGTTCCATATGGAAAGTAGTTTATCAATTCGTAATGCTTTGTATACTCATTAAAAAAAACCGATGGCATGTTTCGGTGCAATGAAATTACAAATACCAAAATTATCCAAATCAACGTCATTAGCAGATCCCTTTTCCTAACATTATGAAAAGTATTTCTCAAAAAACCAAAGAATGGTTTGGTAAAGAACAGACAGGCGATGTAAACCAGTGAAACAATTGTATTTAGAAATTGTTTTTCGTAAAAGAGTAAGTTTTACTTTGTTTAGTATACCACTTAAATAACCCAGAGTTAAAAATATCATTTTTCATTCATCATGTTTTCCCAATGACTGATCAAGGTGAAATAGTAGTTTACTCATTCTACACCTAGATAATTTAGGTTGGGTGATAACAAATGGTTTTATTGACAGTGTTGATATTTTGAAAAGGAACGAATGTCTTTTAAAACATGAGTTAGATATCACGGCCTCATATCGTCTCAATTAGTTATCCCTGAAACGATGATATAAGAACAAGTTCACTGAATTAGGATAAAATGCATGCAAACATTATGAAATTTTAATAGTAAAATACACTTTATATAGAGGAAAAACGAGAAAAAGTGAACAAAAAGTGTCCGAGAGGTTGATTCACTACATAGCATATATGAGAAGACCAATGATGACCAACAACCAACAATTGGAATATTATAACTATAAGTGTGTCCAGTTAATTCACTACGACCCTATCCAACACGGAAAAACTGAATAATTTGTTGTCAATATGAGGTGGTATCTAATGCCTAGTCGAAACCGTACACATTATAAAGACCTAAAGACATTTGTTTCGTCCGAGTGTAGAGATTATTTCCAAATTTAAAAAATCTGTTCGAAGAAAAATGAATTCTGTTTAAGTTTTAATTATGAAGAAGGCACTAAATGAAATTGAGATGTGGGTGAATCTGTTTCGATTATTATAGCTGTGGGTGGCCATTTGCAGAAAAATTGCAAGAGAATCTGGAATTCAGAAATTGTTTCAATTTCTAAATGTTTATCAAATTCAATGAAACAATAATGACTCTGGCAAGGGTGCATTTCATTAGTTTGGACTTCCATTGTCTAATATGATATCAAGGCCGTAACCAGGGGAGAGATCAAGGGGGATTGATCCCCCCCGAATAATGTGAGGATTTTGTGAGGAATACTAAATAAGGGCACGAAAATGTGAGTATTACGGCAGCTCAAAGTAAGTAATTTTGACAACTTACCTTGGCAACACTGCTTATACCGTTTCTGCGGAATATATAAGAGCCTTGTCGAGCACACAAGCGCAGTTCTGTCTTACATGATCCAATGCGAGTACGGAGATATTAGCGAAGTAATAGTGCAGTGTGGGGAATTATAGTGTTGCCAATTAGTGAAGTGAAAGTGAGTAATGATATGATTTTTTAATTTGAATTGAAAGGATTTGATACCTAATTGTAGACCACTCACTGGTATTCATTCTCATGGTATTCTTTATTGAAGTGAATATTTTTGTACAAATGGAATTAATACTTGGCTCTTTTTTATAATTGTCAATTTGTTACAGGTCGATCCACAATTGAAATGGCAAAAAGGACGCAAGAAAACACATTATTCAAATATTTATTTAAAAAATCTAAACTTGATGCTGATAGTGAAGCTAGTGAAGGTTCTACTGAAAATCAGTGTTCAAATGATTTCGACAGCGATATTGCTACAAGTAGTTCTAGTACTTCTGATGCCATTCCTGGGACTGTGGATAATGTTTCTCGGCATTTTTTAGATGTGGGATACTATATGGGATCAAACATAAAAATTGATGATGATCTGAAGTACAGATTGTTGAAATATCCGTGGATGCCAGAAAAGACATTCAAGTTTCCAGTAAGTGACGATAAAAGAAAGCTAAAATTTCAAATTCAATGGATTGAACGCTTCTCGTTATTGGTTTACACGAGTACAGGGCAACAAGGTGCTTTATGCAAATACTGTGTATCATTTGCCAGAGATTGTGCAGGAAAAGGAAAGATGCTATACATGATTTCAACCGGAAACGGTTCATTCCGATTATTGAAACAATTAAATTATGTGGACGTCAGGAATTGGCTTTGAGAAGTACGTGCGACTCAGGTTCTATAAAAATCAATGATCCTGAGCCAGAAACAAATGATGGAAACTTTCGTGCTATCGTACGGATGAGAAGCAGATGTGGAGACTCAAATCTAATGAAGCATATGGAAAATATGACGTTGAACGCTACCTACCTGAGCCCGACCATACAAAATGAACTTATTGCAATTTGTAGTGAAATAGTTCAAAAAAAATTGTGCAAGAATTGAATACTGCGAAATTTTTTTCAATTCTTGTTGACGAAACTACTGATGTTTCACAACAAGAACAAATGTCAATTTGTATGAGATATGCCGAGCCAAAAGATAATGTGTTTATCTTGCGTGAAGATTTTTTAACTTTTGTAACAGTTGAGAATACAAAAGGAAAGTATTTAGCTAATGTGATTTTATCTGAATTGAAATCTTTGGGAGTAGATTGCGAATACTTAATCGGACAAGGATATGATGGAGCTTCTTCGATGAAAGGAAGTTTTAAAGGTGTGCAAGCAGTAACTCGTGAGTCACATCCAGAAGCCTTATACGTCCATTGCAGCTCACATTCATTGAATTTAGCTCTGGCTCATTCTTGCCAAGGTCAGCCTATTCGGAACACTATTGGAATTATAAAATCCGTTGGAACTTTTCATCAAGTCCTCGGCAAAAAGAAACAAGTGCTTGAAAGAGAATATTGAAAAAAAACTTCCCCGAAACACAATGGAAAAATCTTACGGCAATGTGCGAGACCCGTTGGATTGAAAATCATCATGGGTTGTTGAAATTCAAAGAAATATATAAAGCTATTGTTGATACACTAGACGACTTAAGCACTGACATGGATTGTGAAACATCGTCAAAGGCTAATTCTTTCCTGAGATCAGTCATTTCAAGTGATTTTGTTATAAGCTTATGTTGCTTAGGACTGTTGTTTCCATACACACTGACACTATGCAAAATACTTCAATCTCCCATTTGCGATTTGGCAGCAGCTTTACAACATGTTGATTTAATCATGAAGACTATTGAAGATATTCGCCAAATTATTGATTCAAAATTTGCTAAACTTTTCCAGAATGCACAGAATTTGCTCTGTATTGTAAACGAAGAGATTAAAATTCCGCGAATAACGTCACGCCAAGAGCATAGGGCAAACTACAACACAAAAGATCCTGAAACTCATTTCAGAATTACTATAATGATTCCATTTTTAGACGATTTCATTGATCAGCTTCAGTCGAGATTCCAAAATCATAAAGCCACATTATCATCTCTCAACTTTTTAATTCCTTCTGTTTGTTGCAAATAACAAATCAATAATAAATATCAAGAATATTCCTTTGAGTTCTATAAAAAATATTTAGAATGGGACTTTGTGAATGCTGAATTAAACATGTGGAGGATAAAATGGCAGGAAGAATCTGAACTAGATCGACCAACATGTGCTATAGAAGCTCTCGGAGAATGCAACCAGTCTTTATTTCCAAACATTCACAAACTTTTAAAGATCTTGGCGACACTGCCTGTTTCCACATGTACCCCTGAAACGACTCAAAACTTATTTAAGAAACTTCACAAGCCAGGAACGACTAAATGGTTTGGCGTTAATGTCAATCCACCGTAGAATTGACATCGACAGCGAGGAGGTAATTGATTTGTTCGCTGCAAAGAAAGCTAGAAAACTAAATTTGATTTTGTAAAAAACGTTAATATTTCTGTAATGGTTTTCTAATAAATATATATGATCATGTAACACCATTTTCTTTCTTTCGTTTATTTTTATATTTCATGTTTAAACATGAGTTAGATATCACGGCCTCATATCGTCTCAAATAGTTATCCCTGAAACGATGATATAAGAACAAGTTCACTGAATTAGGATAAAATGCATGCAAAAATTATGAAATTTTAATAGTAAAATACACTTTATATGGAGAAAAAACGAGAAAAAGTCAACAAAAAGTGTCCGAGAGGTTGATTCACTACATAGCATATATGAGAAGACCAATGATGACCAACTACCAACAATTGGAATATTCTAACTATAAGTGTGTCCAGTTTCAGTATATTCACTACGACCCCATCCAACACGAAAAAACTGAGTAATTTGTTGTCAATATGAGGTGGTATCTAATGCCTAGTTGAAACCATACACATTATAAAAACCTAAAGACATTTGTTTCGTCCGAGTGTAGAGATTATTTCCAAATTTAAAAAATCTGTTCGAAGAAAAATGAATTCTGTTTAAGTTTTAATTATGAAGAAGGGACTAAATGAGATTGAGATGTGGATGAAACTGTTTCGATTATTATAGATGTGGGTGGCCATTTGCAGAAAAAGTGCAAGAGAATCTGGAATTTAGAAATTGTTCCAATTTCTAAATGTTTATCAAATTCAATGAAACAACGATGACTCTGGCAAGGATGCATTTCATTAGTTTGGACTTTCACCGTCTAATATGATATAAATTGATTTGAAATCAATTTATATATATTCTGGCAAGGGTACACTTCATTAGTTCGGACTTCCATTGTCTAATATGATATAAATTGATTTGAAATCAATTTGCATCTACTGAAATGCATCGCGAAACTTTGTCAACCACCTTCAAACAAAAATCTGACGAGGGTGTTATTTTTGAATGAGCTGGTACAAACTCCTAATTTTATTGCATGAATGAAGTTTTATCGTTGTGATTTGATATTGTTGAAAATGTCTATTTTTGAAAAAATAATAAATGTAGTATCAAAAACATTCAAATACCTACAAACATTAACAACAGTTCATTAGTTCTATTCAAAAAAAAACTTAAATAATAAAAGATATGAAAATTTTTAGAAAAATTGCACAAATGTATGGGGTTGCAAAATGTAATTGAAAAAATCGAAACAACTATCATGTCGAAAAGAGAAAGAATAAATGATACAAAGTTGAAGTAAGAACCCAAGCCTTAGAATGCATGCTCGCCTGTAGCAAGGATTACCGTTACTTACAACCCTATTTCTGGAAGAGGTGGAGATCACAATAAGTCCAAGTAAATGAAGTTAATTAATTTGACTGAACTTTTCATTTTTAGTTTAGAAAAATATTACAAGGCATTCCAATTTTTACTTAATATCGACTTCTGTTTTGTATGTTTAAATTATACAAAATGAGATTGAACTTCAAATAAAGTTTTTCAATCTTTCAGGAAATGTCACTCTTCACAACTACACTCCTAGAAAAAAATTAATAATTACCCTGCCTTTCAGTTACTTCTACTCAAAATTTTAGAAAGAAGATATTAAATATGCTATATTGCCCTAACTTTTCTATGAATCAGATTTGCTGAACTTGACCTATCATTATTATCATATTCTTGTGCTTTTATATACAGCAGTACTCCAACTATCACCGTTATAGTACCCAGACCACTCAGCACGGTTACTGGGTTTCCAAACATTAGGATAGAGAGCCAAATCAGGAATGCCCTCTTCGCCGTATTAGCCACACTGAAAAAAAAAATGCAAAAAACTGTTATCGTTAAAGAAAATACACACAAATATATTTTATTGAAATAAATCAAGTTCACAAATCGTGGAGAAAGGCAGTAAATGTTGTAACTTCAATAAAATTTTCAACATAACTTCGATTTTTTTATTGTTACATATTTTAGAATTTGAATATATCTCATATAAAAGAGATTATTCACCAAACATATAACTGACCTATACAAACATATAGAAAACTTGAAGTTGTTCCATTGTCTTAAAATTGGTTGATCTTACACACAAGTACTTTATCTGCAGAAATTTAAATGGAAGTTTTTATACAAAGTATCGCCTTGTCAATATATAAGGTAGGGTTTACATTTTGTAAATAAGGGTGGATTTATATACCCAGTCTCAAGTCTTAAATCGCAAGTCACAAGAAATAGTAAGCGCTAGATCATTAATTTTCGGTAGCAACTCTCATGCAACAGCATAAATATTATCTTATGTATACTTATTCATAACATCTATGTGCAGGCATAAACCCTAAGGTAGAGATACATTTTTGTTAGGATTTCTGAGTTTTTCTTGAGTTGTTCCACTGGAACAACTCCTTTTCAAACCTAACCTAAATATCAAATATTTTTCATTTCTAAAGCAATATATTAAGACAATTAGTGATAAATTGCCACTTCATTGAAGGAATAGAGAACAATATCAACTGGAAATACGGAAATGACTCAATGGACTCATGTTGAATAAAATTACTCCAGGTTAAACATACATTAAACAGTAATTTTTTTTTATTAATATAACCACATCAACTACGAATGTTATTATTAGCAGGGTTGTACTATATGAATCATATTGAAAGTACAATATTAATAGATATTAGAAACTTCAGTAAAAACTCGAAGTTATTCGGATTCAGGACATCACTGAGTTCTTCGGGTAGTCCTGTTGACAACCTCCTCTCTGTAGTCAGGACACACCGTGACAATAGGCGTCACATTTAGTTCTTCGTCGCAAGAGATTTTGGAAGTTTAAGCGAGAATTTATTGTTTTGAGCTAGTTATTCTCCAGAGCTTGGCACCTTTTCCACCACGTATTTATTGTTGAATGTTATGGATCAAATTTTCATGTGATACACAATGAACTAGTAGACTATAAGGAGTTGAGCTACTCTCTCTAGCTATTGTGTCAGCAGTTTCGTTGCCAAGTATTCCCACATGCCAAGGAACGCAAACAATTTTAATACGTTTTCTATTTTCAGTTAGTTTTCCCAATTCTGATTTAATACAGAAGGGGGGTATTTCTGGGGTATAGCTGTTGAATGCCCTGTACGGTAGGTAGGTAGGTCTAAAGTGAGTGGGTCTATTCGACCCTCCACCGCAACCCATAAGGGTTTATTGTGGCTCACACCTATTCACACTCGGACAAATAAACCCAGATTCTTAACGAAGCCGATTAGTTTGTATGGTAGTGGTCTTTCAGGTCAGATAACTCGAGATTTTATTTAGAAATAATTATTCTCTTATAAATATTCAGTACGTGGTAATAATATTTAATGAAAAATGGTAATAAATAAATTATTTTTTTATTCATTTACCACTGTTTTATTCTTGAAACCAAAAAGGATTACAACATAAAAAATATTTCCTTCAAACTTCATAAAAGTACCAATTACTGTCACATCATAATAAAAGAAAATACTAGGTTCGATATGAACAAATAACAGAAACACTTACCTATGTGTCACTGGACTAATGTAGTCCATCAGCACGTAAGCTGTGATACTTTGGAAGTGGAAAAAAACACCATTCAAGATGAAGCAAAATATTAGTTTGGGGCCAATTTTGTCGCCCGTTGCCATATCAACCATAAGTAAAGTTGTAGGAATTTGCACGACTATACTGGCAACACTGGTATAGAATTGAAGTTCTGCTGGTCTGAAAATAATAGGAAAAACCTGTTCATTTCGATAGCCCAACGATAAGTTAGGGGAAACTTCATAATAGTAACCTCAGGATATAGTTTATTAAAACCCAATACCACTTAAAATTTGCATTATATAAATATAAGTTGAAATAAATCCATACTGTATTTATTTAGTTTTAAGTATAGTTTTGCCTTTCGTATTTCAAAACAAGTGGAAGGTTATTGATTTTTGTAAATGTTGATAAAGTATCAATCAATTTTAAAAAAAGTTTTTCCTGATTATATAAACCTAAGGAATTATTGAATACATTTCATTTAGAAAAAACTTATTATGGAAAACATTAACATCTCATTATAAAAAACTGCTCCAAATTCTTATAGAACCTACAAAAATCAATTCTTGAATAAAATTTTCAATGCAAGA